CCTGACAGCAGTTTGTTGTCATTTGTTGGCAAGTGACTTCTGGCAAGATCATTCTAACTTACATATTGAGGGGGATGAATCTGTGTTATGTGGTTGCTGGGACTTAAAAATCCAGCTCCTTTCTGTTTGATGTGCAGGAGGGTGGGGACAGGAGCCAGTTGCCAAATTCACATTGCCATGTGGCATGTTGTTGTAATGTTTGGCAGTATACTTCTAAATTACATTCATTAATCAATGGCTAGTATATACTTAAGTATATATATTTTGGTAAGGTTTTGAATTAAAGTTCATAAATATAAATCTTCAAATTAGCTTTTTTGATAATCTTGAATTTTTTTGGAGAGAGGCTGGCTTTGTGTTAGACCAGATTAGATTGTCTCTGTTTTTATGCCTTGTGACTGATAAAGAGTACCTGCAATGAATAGACATGTCAGCTCTGCCATTTTCTTGTTCACTTACACTTATGCTGTAATTATCTCAATTCATGGCTTCTTTGTAGGTTTCAGTATTTAAGTCAATTGTTCATTTTGGGAGGGGTAACTTAGTTGAAATTAGATAATATAACTTGAAAAATAATGTAACCTGATGTATACTGCAATATGCTGAAGGTCCCACTGTCAACCTGAGTTGTGGAACTTTTATTGTGCCTCCAGGTTTGATATATAGATCAAGTGAGATGGCCAGTGCTAAAAATTAGTATAGCTTAAAGAGGTCAAATTTGTAAATTTTTATGGCTTTCCATTTCTTAAAAAAAGGATAAAAATCATAATAGAAGCTTTAACATTTTCCCCCATTATCTAACTGATCACTGCATATATGGCCTTGAGGGCACTTATGTCACTTTGGAGACTTGACTTTGAAAACAGGCTTTGAGATTATATGTCCAGGCTTTCAGTTTTAGGTTTTACTCTGATCTGGATTTAGGCAAAAATGATGACATGAATATGGCCGACAGACACATGAAAAGATGCTTAATATCACTAATCATCAGGGAAATACAAATCAAAACCACAATGAGGTATCACCTTATACCAGTAAAATGGACACTGTCTAAAAGACAAGAAATAACAAGTGTTGGCGAAGACGCAGAGAAAAGGGAACCCTTGTGCATTGTTGGTGGGAATGTAAATTGGTACAGCCACTGTAGAAAGAAGTATGGCGATTTCCCAAAAAAACTGAAAATATAATACCATATGACCCAGTAACTCCACTTCTGAAAATTTACCTGAAGAGAACAAAGTCACTGATTCAAAAAGATATATGCACTCCTATGTGTATTGCACCTAAGTGTCCATCGATAAATGAATGGATAAAGAAGATGTAGTACATGTAAATAGTAGAATAATACTCAGTTATAAAGAGAAGGAAATCTTATCATTTGCAACATCATGAATGGACCTAGAGGGCATCATTGTAAGCTAGGCAAAGACAAATACCATATGATTTCACTTATATGTGGAATCTAAAAAACAAAACAGCTTAACAAAACAGAAATAGACTCAGACACAGAGAAGAGACTGGCGGTTGCCATGGAGGAGGGTGAGATTGGTGAAGGGGATAAAGAGGCATACAATTCCAGTTGTAATATAAATTAGTCACAGGAGTTGAAAGTACTACGTAGGGAATACAGTCAGCAATATTGTAATATCTTTGTATGTTGACAGATGGTAATTACACATAACATGGTGAGCATTTAATAATGTAGGTAATTGTCGAATCACTATGTTGTACACTTGAAACCAATATAATACTATCTATCAACTAAACTTCAATTTACAAATTAAAAGAATGTACTTCCTATTCTTTAGTCTTTACGACCCACCTTTGCCATTTAATCACATATTGCCTTCCATTATCACTTTATTCTGTCTCTGACTTACCTGCTCTATTAGACCTAAACTCCTGGAGGATAGACACCCATGTCTTGTGTGCCCCTAGCATAATACTTTGTATGTCATAAACATGTAGTAGTTAATTGCTGAATAAATAAACACTCTTAATTGTGGATATTCTTTACATTGAAATGTGTAATCCTCCTCAACTTTCTACATGAAAAATGAAAATAATGTTCTTAGTGCCTTAAAGCATTATAAGAAGCAACACATTTGTATATGTAGAATGAGTCTATTTTCTGTGATGAAAAATCTGTATAAACAAAGGGTTAATCTTCCTAAAATACAAATGGAAAAAGGGACACAATCCACTAGAAAAGCAGTAGACTGTGAAAAGGCAGTCCACAAAGGAAAAAAATGACTGCTCATTAACATAAAGTCAGATTCATTAGCAACTAGGGGCATGCAAATGAAAAACAAGATGCCATTCTTTTTTGCCACTGGATTATAAAAAGATTGATCATACCCAGTTATGGGGAAGTTTGGAGCAAGAAACAACATTTATATGCTGTTGGGACTGTGAATTGGGGAAGGTAATTAGTATCTGTTCATGTTTAGCATGCATATATTTTTTGACCCAGCATTCCTACTTTGGGAAATTAATCTTATGGAATGTACAGGGTATTAATTATAAAGATATTTATATAATTGAAGGCTGAAATCAACCTGCATTTCTAACAAAAGGGAAATGGTTGAATAAATTATGTTAGATCTATCCAGTGAAATAATACTCAGCTATTATTGACCTGCAGAGCTGTATATGATATATTGTTAGATGAGACAAACAAGTTGATGAATAATTATATAATGTGATCCCATTGTTTTATTAAACAAATGCAAGAAAAAGATGACAACCTACATGTATGTATACTGTGTAATGTTATCTGTGTTAAAGTATATACACATAATGAGGAAGGATACAGCTGTTAATAATAGTAACTCTCGTGCTACAAGATTAGAAAGGAAAGAGTCCATATTATTAATCTTTTATTCACTTTTGTGTTGCTAGATGTTTAAAACAAATGTGAATCATTCTATAATTTTAAAAAGTTAAGTTTTATATAAAACTAGACCGATTTCTCTGTCAATTTGTAGCTACATCTGCTATTTATTGACACTCTAGAAATTCTGAGTATAGTTCAACTGTTAAGACGGAGTATAGTTCAATAGTTAAGACTGCTTGTCTTCTTCCAATTGGATATAATTATAATTATTGTGATATGTTGAAAAGAATGTAATTTTATGTTTTAATCTAACTACTTATATGTTTATTCTTAGCTGTGTGTGAATGTGTGTGTATGCTGTGTAAAATAAGAGTGTCAAGTAATGAGGTTGAATTTACTAGATAAATCAGAACTTAACTATTAAAAAGAGCATTTGTGTTTCTGTTCTGGATAAGATGGAGTAAGCATACTCCACTTTGTCTATCCCATTGATGCACTAGGAAGAATCCAAGTAGTGGCTATTTAAGGATTCTGAAAAGTAAACTGTAGCAAGTAGATTGGCGAAAAAGACCAGAACTTAAAGCAGCACTGAACCAGGAGCTAATTTACTTTTTCTTTCACCTGGGTCTGCTCCCCTCTGTCCCCCTGTGCCAGGACTTGAATTCTGGGAGATTAGCATCAGTGCAGTCAGAGCTCTCAGGAAAAGCCCTCTAGTTGAGGTTCAAGGAGCAGGAAAGAAGGCTCCTGGCAGCACACACCTAACTCTCTGAGGAGAGCTTCCTCTCTGAACAAAGGAGTTGTCCCAGGGGAGTCGTTTTAGAAATGACACCAAAAGCATGTTCCATAAAAGAAAAAAAATTGATAAATTGGACTTCAACAAAATTAAAAATGTTTGCTCTATGAATGAAATAAACTACAGACTGGGAGAAAATATTCGTAAATTACATATCTGACAAAGAACTATGTCTAGAATATATAATAAGAACTCTAAAAACGTAAAAGAAAACAAACAGCTCTCTTAAAAAATGGGGAAAAGACTTAGACAAGTCACCAAAGAAGATATACAGATGGCAAATAAGCACATGAAAGAGACTCAACTTCATTGGCCATTAGGGATCTGCAGATTAAGACTATGTTGAGATACTCCTACACATCTATTATACTGACCAGAAGTACCAGGGATGATACAGAGCAATTGGAATTCCCATACATTGCTAGTGGCAAAGCAAAGTGGTACAGCCGCTCTGGAAAATAGTTTGGCAATTTCTTATGAATTCAGCAGGCTTACCAGATGGCCAAGGAATCTCACTCTTAGAGAAACAAAAATATAAGTTCACACAAAAACTTGTACATTAATGTTTATAGCAGCTCTATTTATAATTGCCAAAAACTGGAAACAAGTCAAGTCACAGGGGTTGTTGGAATGGATAAACCATGATATATTCTTATAATGGAATGCTATACAGTAAGGAAGGAACTATTAATAACATGCAACAACTTGGATGAGTCTCCAAAGCATTATGCTGAGTGAAAGAAGCCAGTCTTAGAAGGTTATGTACTATATAATTCCATTATATGACATTCTGGGGAAGATAAAACTGGTGATGAACATTATCGGTGGTTGATGGGAGTTGAGTAGGGGGAGGGTGTGACTACAAAGGAATATCCCAAGGGAGTTTTTTTAAGGTGTGCAACTATAATTTTCACCACATTTTGGAAGATTTTTGTCTATTGTTTAGTCAAATATTTAAAAATATATTTCCTCCTTCTCTCCTGGGATTCCAGTTATACATATTCAAAAACTTGATTTACTGGGGGGTGTCCTTAGGGTGTGTCTGCTATTATCTCCTCAAAGCAGAGGCCTGGCGACTTCTGTCAATAGCCATGCCCTTCCACTGATTATATGTAACAAGGTCTCTTTGTGCCTTTGCAGATGACCTTTGGTTTATGATGAAATATATAATTTTGAATTTCCTAATATTAAGTATCTAATCCAAGTGAACAGAATTAAGGAAAAAATCTTCCTTGGGATATACCTCTAAGACTCAAAGAATTATAATTTAATAATATGGGTATTTGTTGATAGAAGCAAATGCTTCAGTATGTAATTGAATGTGACATTAATTCTCTTACTATGCTTTGTCAAATTACTTTTACTATCCAGTGCAGGAAGCACAGCCATGGCCCCCACGCTCCAGGATTTGGTCGGCATGGAGTCTGTGAACATGAGAACAAGGAACTTGCCAAGGCGAGAGAAGCTCTTCCTCTTATAGAGGACTCTAGTAACTGTGACATTGTAAAAGCTACTCAGTGAGTCCTTGTAGTGCTTTGTTTTATCCTTATGTTCAGTTGAGTTATAATAATGTATGTACAGTTGATGGCACTCCAGTGTATACCTTCCTCACTCCAAACTCCAGCACTACTTTGTCAGTCATATGACCATCAGAGCACTTAATACAGTGCACCTACCAGTCTCTCCCATTAGATTGTGAGCAGCTTTTTAGCAAAAGCATGTCTTCTTCATCTTTGTGGCCCCACTTTTGCCCAGTTCTTGTCTTAGGTGTCCAGTAAATGTTTGTTGAGTGAATGAATGATTTTAAGTGACACTAAAACTAGACTCAATTTGGAACACAAATCTGAGCCTTTTAAAATATACTACAACCAGTATATATAAATGGGATGGAATAGCATCAGCTCACACATTTATGGATGTTTTAAACTATTTATTGAGTACTTCCTATGTGCCTATTTTACTGGGTGCACTAGAAAAGTCAGCAAAGTAGAAATAAGTTTACTGTCCACTTGAAACACATAATGGGTTGTTTTGCTTGCATTGAAAATGAAAGTATGTTTTTGAAAGTTTCTCTGTAAGATCTCCATATGTTAATTTAATAATATGGGTATTTGTTGATAGAAGCAAATGCTTCAGTATGTAATTGAATGTGACATTAATTCTCTTACTATGCTTTGTCAAATTACTTTTACTATCCAGTGCAGGAAGCACAGCCATGGCCCCCACGCTCCAGGATTTGGTCGGCATGGAGTCTGTGAACATGAGAACAAGGAACTTGCCAAGGCGAGAGAAGCTCTTCCTCTTATAGAGGACTCTAGTAACTGTGACATTGTAAAAGCTACTCAGTGAGTCCTTGTAGTGCTTTGTTTTATCCTTATGTTCAGTTGAGTTATAATAATGTATGTACAGTTGATGGCACTCCAGTGTATACCTTCCTCACTCCAAACTCCAGCACTACTTTGTCAGTCATATGACCATCAGAGCACTTAATACAGTGCACCTACCAGTCTCTCCCATTAGATTGTGAGCAGCTTTTTAGCAAAAGCATGTCTTCTTCATCTTTGTGGCCCCACTTTTGCCCAGTTCTTGTCTTAGGTGTCCAGTAAATGTTTGTTGAGTGAATGAATGATTTTAAGTGACACTAAAACTAGACTCAATTTGGAACACAAATCTGAGCCTTTTAAAATATACTACAACCAGTATATATAAATGGGATGGAATAGCATCAGCTCACACATTTATGGATGTTTTAAACTATTTATTGAGTACTTCTTATGTGCCTATTTTACTGGGTGCACTAGAAAAGTCAGCAAAGTAGAAATAAGTTTACTGTCCACTTGAAACACATAATGGGTTGTTTTGCTTGCATTGAAAATGAAAGTATGTTTTTGAAAGTTTCTCTGTAAGATCTCCATATGTGTGTATTTGCATTAAATCATTTCCAACATTTTCACCCTTATGGATGTCAGAGATTATTAAACATCCACCCATTTCTTGCCATGGAACATATTTTGAAATATTTTGTCTATCAGACTACTTTAATGAGTCCATTTTCTTAGTAATCAAATATAAATATGCCCATCTGAGCATGAAAGGAACTAATATTACCACACTAACTTGATATAATTTCTGTCAAAAGCAGTTTGGTGATTAATTAGCCTGTTTGCCCTTAATGAACTCTAATGTATTATTTATGTTAAAAGAAAATGGACAATTACTTGAGTATACTAATTACTACTTTATATGAACTCTAGAGTCCCTGGGAACCACTACTTTAGGTGCATATTATTCAATAGTATTTATATTAAGATGCAAATGATCTTAAGGTAAATATTTGCACTAATTAGAATGAAAACATTTAAATGTTTCTCTGTTATTGGTAAAGCTCTGTTATGATAAATGTGAAAAATTAAGTTACATTCATAGGGAATCAGTAAAAGTTCACTCTGTACATCTTTTCTAAAAATTTCCTTCAGGTCTTGAACCTTTAAGTGATTGTGATCTGTAGGTAGTATTTGGGAAGGGCAAAAGAGTTAGGGTGTGTGTATGTATTTCCTTTACCACTAAAATCCTAATCAGTGTGTACTCTTATATTTCTCATATAAAGGGAGAATTTCTTTTCCTACAAAATGTGAAAGCTGACTTTTGAAAAAGAGAATAAAAATATGTATATCATTATCAACAATTTACTCTCTTACTAATATTTTCATTTAACATTGTCAAACAGGTATCTCTTATCTTTTAAAAAATGCCATACATACAGGGCATCTTACAGGGACTGCTCTAGATGGGAGCACTCCTAGAAAAAGCACAGAACAAAACACCCAACATATGAAGAATGGAGGAGGAGGAATAAGAAGGGAGAGAAGAAAAGAATCTCCAGACAGTGTATATAACAGCTCAATAAGCGAGCTAAGTTAAGCGGTAAGATACTAAAGAGGCTCACCTTGAACATTTGGTAACCATGAATTTAAAGCCTGCAATGGCAATAAATTCATATCTTTCAATAGTCACCCTAAATGTAAATGGACTGAATGCACCAATCAAAAGACACAGAGTAATAGAATGGATAAAAAAGCAAGACCCATCTATATGCTGCTTATAAGAAACTCACCTCAAACCCAAAGACATGTACAGACTAAAAGTCAAGGGATGGAAAAACAT